TCAGAGGATTTTGCCAAAATTTCAAGAGGGAACCGTGTTAGGTGGTGTTATGATTCTCACCTTTAGTTAAATGATAGTATAACTATATTTGTACTATCTTTTCCAGGTCATTGTAATCTCTCTCTCTCTTTGTGTTCGTACTATATTTTCCAAGTCTTTGTAATCACTCTCTGTGTTCGTACTATCTTTTCCAGGTGTTTGTAATCACTCTCTCTCTCTTTTGTATTCATATATTCGGTCGCCGTTCCGACCTATAAATAGACCGGTTTCAGTTCAAATAAAGCATGTGATATACAACTACATTCATCTATTCTCTAAATATTCACTATGGGTCCGAAATCACGACGTCAACGACACGCGATAACAACTTCAACTAGATATCTACCGAACCGAAGTGGAAACAATGCAGAAGACGACGCTGAACGGGAGGAAATGGAGGTGGACGACATCGAATATGAACAACAACCAATGAACTTCACGGACCGAATCACGGCCGACAACATGGCCGATCTCTTTGAACTTTGCAAATACAAGTGTCCCGTGAAGTATCTCAGCGTGTTGATCTACGCAACCCTGAGAAGCTTTGGTCCCAGCTGGGAGAACTGTGATACTTTCCTTCGAACTATCGGTGAGTTGCTGAATTGTCATATCTCTTTTCTCTCCTAGAATCACAAAAGTTTTCTTTCTATTAACAGGCGCATTAAAGGCACAAACTGCACACCGATGGGCCGACGTGTTTCTTAAGGGGGACGTGGAGGAGTTTCAGGGCGAGAACAGAGGTGGTAAACACATGGCCGAGTTCTACGACTACTTTTCAGACTTGGAGGATGCTGCCAGAGAGTTCACTCTTCGGCGATGTTCAGAAAAAGCTGCCGATTTCACAGCCATTGACCTTGCTAACTTCATCGACAAGGAGTATTACCTGACAACAAATACTTACATACCAGAGAAGATTTAAAATGACACATGTTGTCAAACCAAGAAAACATGCCAAATTAAAACCTATTATCTTAAAAGAAAAAGAAATATTGTAAAACTTATTATGTACATAATACATATATAACTCATATACTTCATGACGTGTTTGTTTCAATTTCGTAAACATCAATGGCATAATATTCATTAGACGCCTGAAAAAAAAAGTTTATCACATATTTTTGAATTGTTGCCTATATGTAGTTTATTTTACTCTTAAATACCTAGTGTAATTGTATTCATTAAGAATGAATCACCAATATGATTGTAACTACGTGTCACAGTATTTTGAATTTTTAAACCAACCATTAACGTCACAATAACTAAACAATTTTAAAAAGAAAACAGTTACATTCAAAATTTCTCTTTTTATATGTCATAAGCGTACTCGTTCCTGTAAACAAACTTCCTTTTAAAAATGTTAATACCGATATGATAGGTTGAATAAATTGGCGAAGAAATACAATGCAAAATGTCCGTGTCCAACAAAAGACGGGAATCATTTTCAAATATCTATATTCGAAAAAAAAACAAAATGTCTCTTGTTATCAATAAAATCATAATTTACTTGATACGAAATAACGTGGCATATGCTTGACTTCCTGCTAACGCATAACTGACCAACATACATAATCTCAAAATTAAATAATGAACAAACTACAGTGCAAAGAACGTATTTTGAAAAAACAACAACTTACGAGCTCAATATTCTGAAAACCAGCTCAGCAAAGGATTTCCGGAAAACCTGGATTTCTGGAGGCCCAAGCTTAGAAATTGTCAAAAACCGCTTTTTAAGGATGCCAGTTGATAAAGCATATGTGAAAACCCATGTTTCAATACACTTTTAAGCTAAATTATAATTCTTCATCCAAATTATGTCAGAATAACAAGGTGTACTCTATTTTATCTGCTCAATACTATGCAGTTCTAAGTTTTACAAATCAACAGAAAATACCTTGGTTTTTGAAAAGGTTTTCTAGAAATTCTCTGAAGTACAAGAATGTATTTTACAATTCTTATTTCAAAAAGAAAAAAACGAACCAGAACGAAAATTCTGGGCAAAAATACATCGATTTTCTTTTTTGATGTTCTATCTCTGATATAAATTTGCATCCTCACCGACATCGACTTCCCTGATTTCCAAGCTGGTAAAAAAAAAAGGGGGGGGGGGGGGGGCCCCAAACCCCCGTTTTTTTTGGTTTTTTTTTGGGTAAATTTGTTGCGTGTTTACGGGCCGCGGGGGGGGTTTTTTTTGGTTGCAAAAATTTTTGTGTTTTAAA